TTCTCACTCTTCCATCTTCGCCAAAGCCTCTTTCAAAATAAGATTGAGGCATTATCTTTGTTTGCTATCGCTTAATAGTGGACTATGATGTTGGCACAAGAACTGTAAAGTAAATGACTGAACAACTAATGAATCAAAACGTTATCTATCAACTAACCCACTGATTTGTCTGAATGTTATTTCTTGTTGCCAATAACTTGTGAACAATATAGGAAATTGTACAAAAATATTTGTTCCAACTGCTATGTCTATGAAACCCTGTACGTTGTTCAACCAGTGCTACCCAAATGAAGTTGGTAATTGCTAATGGGCCGATAAAAGTCGTCGGTTGAACGAGCGAACGTCATCAGGAGGCGCCTCGATCATAAATTTTCGCAAAGCCGATTGACCGGTGACCGGGAAGACTTCTCTGGTTTTTTGTGCGTGTGTGTGTGTGTGTGTGTGGTGCTTCCGTTGACAAATGATGAATTTCGGATTTCCGTCCGTACCGGAGCACACGCTAACATCGCTGGCATCGGTAGTCATGGCGACGCCCAAATACCGTCGTAGCGCACTGTTCGTACCGGACGCCGTTTCTTCGGATCGTGCCGAGTAAGTTCACCGTTTTGTTTACTTGCTCCACTTTCGAAAGCGGTGGTAGTTGAAACACGATACGATGACAAACGTTCTGCAGTTGTTGGCCCAACAACCCAGTGCTGGGGTTTCTAGTATTTCTAATTTTCCTTTGTTTCATTACCGGCGTTTAGTCGAAGAGGATCACGTTTTGGGAAAACGCGGTGAAAAATTTCAAATACTGATTGAGAATAGAACTACACATTCTCAATGAACCTTTTTCCTGAAGTAGGAAAATTCACTAACTAGCAGGCTAGTAGTTCGAAAGGGACAAACACTTTCTAATCCTCATATAAACATATGGTAAAGTACAATTAAAAAATGTTTTTAACAGAAGAAGATATTCCTGGAGCAAAACTAAAATTTGCAACTGTAAAGGATAACAATATTGTAACATTAAAACGTTAGCTTGCATACCGTAATTTAAAAGTAACTGAAAAAAAAGTGAATTAATAGACAGGTTAGTATACAGACTCTAGTAAAAGAGTAGCGGTAGATTCAAACTGCAATATAAGAAATTTAGGCCAGTCTCAACTCCCGAATTGCTCTAGTCTTCAAGTATGCCCATGTGAAAAATCTTGACCTAGTTTAGAAAAAGCACTAAACCGGTTTGAGCACCTCTAAAAGTGATCTCTCTTGTATCTTGTTTGCTGAGTAATGGTAATGAACTGATCAATTGATTTCCACTATTGACTGCTTCAGTTCCAGCCCGATTGATTTGATTGGTAGGTTGAGGGAAAGTAAGACAACTTGCCAATAACCAACTCCAGAGTTGTGCCCTCTGTGCACACGCTGGTGGACAAGTAAACGTATTCCGGAAAATCATAGAATTTTAATATTCATGAATGTGGTTAATTTCCTGTACAGAAATTAAAAAGAAATATAGTCTGTCTGTCTACTTTGGTGGTGGTTCTCAGGTTTTACCAACTCTGAAGTCATTATTTCTGCTTCTCTTGCCTGTACTTCTCCCTGAATTTCGGTTGTATTTCTATCGTTGTCCTGAGGATTTCCACCAATACGGTAGTGGCATATTTTGTGCCACGTATATTGCCCTGTCCTTAAAGTTAGACCAAATGGTTGTCAGTTTGTTCGTCTTCACCAAGTACCAAAAAAGGAAATTTTAAAGCAAAAAATAAATGACTGGCAATGAAATAAAAAATCATACGTTGCTAAATTTTGTTGAAGCAAATTAATTCCGAAAAGGTGACTGGGGGCTCACCATCGTTATATGTTAAGTACTCCTGGCTCCAATAATACTCTCTTGTTGTGGGCTCATTTGCTGACCCAAGTAATACATTATATTATATCTCTCTACCAGCCCCATAAGTAGGCATCGACTTGACATATTTTTTTCATTCATGCTGTGGTTTAACAGTTGGGTTAAACGAGATCAAAGTGAATCCTTTCCAAGGTAGATATTCGAGAGATCCCTGAGGAATCAATCCTCTGTGGCTTCTTCAATGTTTAAGATTGCAGGGGCAGCCAGTGACCATTTTCATCGTTAATAACGTTTCTTGAATATCCATTACACTTCTGAAATTAATTCACGGATATGACTAGTAATTATTGTCAGCTCCACCATTTTTTGAGAAAAATTAACTGTACACATCATATACTTGGCCCTGTACTATTAAGTAATTTCATTTTGAGCATTACAACTTGTAAAGTCCACTTTTATGATAAGGATGCAGCTATATCACTCATTTGGTCCAGAAGATTGGTTTGAGGCTCAAAAAGTTATATCTGAAGATATAAATCGATTAGTAGAGGTGTCACATGCGCATAAGTTGAAAATCAATGCACGCCAGTCTAAACTAATGATATTTGGGAAAAAAACATCATATTGAAACCATTATGAGAATCAAAATTCAAAATGAAGAGTTTCTGTTTACAAGTAATGCAAGGAATTTAGGTATATACAGAATTTCGATTTAGAAAAAATATTGACTCATGTCTTCAAAAGGCTTATTGTTCATTGAAAATGCTTTACCCTCACAGACATGTTCTTTCACAATCACTTAAAAAAACGTTAAGTGATACACTTAACATTTAACTGAGTCACTTTAACTTTGGTGATATTTTGTATGGACCATGTTTAGATCATAACGATATCAATCGTATAGAAAAAATTCAGAAATAGAGTCTCAGATTGATCTACGGTAATCGCAAATACGATCCGATATATCATAAGCGAAAATTCGCGATATGGTTAAAAACCGAAGATCGTCGAATACTTCATTTTATTTTAACCCATTCAATAATCAATAAACACTGTCCCCTATTTTTTTTAATAAAATAACATATACTTAGGACAGATATTCATAACCTTGATTTACGTCATAGAAGTCATATCTCGCTTCAACCTTACTAAACTTCTCTGTACCGAAGCAGCTTATTATAATGTTTTCAAGCTTCATAATGAGATCGACCCATCACTTCGCACTATGAAACTACTATATTCATTTCGAAACAAAATGAGAGACAGTCTCTTGGCCAAGAATGAATAATTCAATATTTCCACATGTATTGAGATAATATTTATACTTTGATATAATATTTATACAACATTTCTAAAATAATTTTTTTTGCACGCGAACAATTATGATTGCACTTATATTAACCTGGGGCTGAACTAGAACTTTTCCATCTTGTTTTCACTTCCATTTTGCATTCGTGTTTCATATTATTTCATATATCGAGTGGTCCAACGAAAAGTATGCACCTTGCTTTTCTCCTTTTTTTGTAACTTAACGCAAAAATGCTCGAACAGGTCAATTTTCCTTTTGAGGTGGACACATTTTTGATGTATTTTTCTACCTGTGCCTTCAACGCCCTAGCGAGGGTGAGTAACAACCCTAAAATTTTAAATGGAAAGTGGGGTCGAGTGATATATCATTTGAAAGGGCACAAAATTCTCTTTCCAATGATACCTAATTTGTTGTATTTACTTGAATAGTTATAAAAAAAGCAAGAACATTTACTCGATATTTTTGGTGTTAATGAAAATGCGGAAAAAACGGCATTTTTATCACTACTACATTCCTCAATTTCTCTCGTCCGTTTTTTGGTTCAAATAACAACAGCAGAAGTGTACAAAAAAAAGTTAGGCAAACGTTCATTGATTCAGTTCGGTTGCTTTTGAAATTATTTCAACTTTACTGTAAAAATGGTTTATTCCATTCCTGAACGAGTTGAAATTGTTAAACTTTATTATCAACATAATAGTTGTGCTAGACTTACTGCTTGCCTCTTTAATAACAGTCATCCCGGAAAAAATGTAAATGATTCGTACGTTGCCAAGTTAGTCCAAAAGTTTGTCGATACCGGATCTGTCTGTAATGTGAAACATCAGCCACGTAAACCGATCAGAAATGAAGCAGTGGAAGTCGCTGTTTTGGAACATGTTGAATTGGATCATACTCAAAGTACCCGTCAGCTTGCTGCAGCCTCAGGTGTTCCCGTTCGTTCATAATACGGATATTAAAAGCCTATAAATTTCATCCGTACAAAATTAAATTAGTACAGGAACTTAATGAAGATGATCCTGATAGAAGGCTGCAATTTTGTGAACAACTGAGCCAGCTACTAATTGATGATCCGCACCTATCATTCAACACGTGCTTTTCCGATGAGAGTACATTTTTTTTGAATGGAGCTGTGAATAGGCATAATTGCCGTCACTGGGATGACAGTAACCCACACTTATTCCGAGAGGTCCATACCCAGTACCCTCAAAAAATCAATGTCTGGTGTGGTATATTTGGTAATCATATCGTAGAGCCACTTTTTATTCCTGGGAATTTAACTGGTGAAGTCTACCTGAACATGCTTGAAGATACAATTGATCCTCTTATAACAGAAGTAATTGAAAATGACCAAAATCATAATAATGATCGGCTTCATTTCCAGCAAGATAGAGCACCTCCTCACTATGTTGCTCCGGTAAGAGAGTTTTTAGATGACCGGTTTCCTGGACGGTGGACTGGAAGGAGAGGCCCCATCGAATGGCCTGCCAGGTCACCTGATTTATCGCCTTTTCAAGGTGCATACTTTTCGTTGGACCACTCTGTATATACTTTATTGTCATCCTTTTTGAAATATTTTCATGTTTATATTCGATCATGTAATTGAATGCAAATAAAATTATTATTATTATAATATGACCTTCAAAATCATCAGTTTGTTCTCCACCTAACGAGGATTCCTCGCTACTGTTGTAAATATGATTTATATAATGAAATCCTTGTAAACTTGTCTCGTTCTCGGATTTCCACGAGAATTTCATAAAGCTCTCCATCTTCTTCATTCCGTTCATAACGGCGCTTTGACAGCATTGTGTTTTGTTTTTATTCTCGCAAACCCAGCTAATTATCATCTTTTTTGTTCCAGGTGGGTTTCACATCATCGCATGCCGCAGAGAACCGGGTAAGAAGTACATAATGAAAGTATTCGTCGCTGTTTTTTACTGTCGTTCGAGAGTTATCTTTATAATAGGTTAGGTAACAACGGCTTCCGGCCATTTGTAACAGATACTGTTGATATTGTTACGTTTTTCTCCGTGGGTTGACCAATAATTGATTACACTGAATAATCAAACTTAACTTTATTTCATTTAAAATACAACAAACACTTCAACTAAAACTTTACCTAATATTTGAATGTTTATCGCTTTACTGGATCACTTCGCGTACCGCACTGTAACGCCCACATGACTGTGTCGATATCATGGTTAGCCTTTAAATATCGTAATCGAATGTCGTAGAAATTTCGAAGTCGGTAGCATTATTCTCGCTGCTTCTCGAGTGACAGGGCTCTTAGCTACGTCACGTTTGGTTTATGGTTACCAGTGGCGGCCGGCGTTATTTTCTTTCGGGCATCATTTACAACACTACCCCCTTTCCTGAGGTTGTTTGCCCCGAACAACATTCCAAGAGGGGACATCTCGACCCATGTAAGGACTCATCCTTTCTATGTGGACAACTTTAGGCTTGCTTCTGGGTGACAATTGGATTCTGTACACCAGATCGTTTATCTTTTTGGTTACCAAGTAAGGTCCTTGCTATGGTCTCTGCAACTTAGGACACAAACCTTTCTGACGTTGGGGTTTGTAGAGCTACACTACATCGCCCTCCTTGATGCTCACTGGCAGCGACTTTTTGTCAAATCTTATCTTCATTATGTCGCTGGAAAGCTGTATTTGGTTCTGTCAAATTCGTGTACAATTTCCAGTCTCTCTTTTAGGTCATTCACATACTCTGAAAGAGGTATCTCTTGAGATTCATCGAAAGGACTGTCACACAATACATCTATCGTAGAGCCGAAGGGGGTTGTGTGGCATGGTTGAGTTGTTAGAAACGCAAGTTTTTAAATGCACAAAATGAAAGTTCTATTGTGAAATTGTAAATAATGAATGGGAAACTGGCTTCCTCGAGTATATGACACCCCTACAAAGCCCGAGCATCTGCCTTGAAATCGATAGGCGGTAATTTCCTACGCCTCTTGGATTTTGAATTGTTGTTGCAACAATTGTTGTTGTTGTTGTTGTTGCAACTTTCCTCTTTGTGCTATTACGATGAACAATTGATTGATTTCACGGAATAAATAATTGCTTTGACTGAACACAAAATGGAATATTCCAAAATTAACCTGGAAGAACTGAACCGTGGTTGTATGATATTCATGACTTCGTCGAATTGGAGTAAAACCCAGGAAAAATCTTCAGCGCTGGATCTTTAAGTCACCAATACCTACAATATATCCATCAAATGTTACATTCCGAAGTGACGTTGCCATTTCAAAATCTCTCCAAACTCATAATTAGCTATGAGCAAATTGTCGTCGCTAAAAATACATCTGCGAATTTGGCTCACAGGGTTCTGGATTGGTCGAACCGAACAATTCGATGGTTATGCATTATGAAATATTACGGATCGCCTTAGCCCAATTCAGTTCGTTGCACTCTGGGAAATGGCCCACCGCACAAGAATATTTCCAACTACCAAGCACTTGTTTACAGGTAACGGTTGGTCTATATGGCGTAAGGTTCACCACGCTCGTAGACAGATTCACTGAGAACCAACACTTGCTCTCGACTAAAGACGCTCGTCTCCGGTTAGTTTTTGGGGACCTCATGATATAACAATACAACAGATTAGAAAGTAAAAGCACCTAGAGGTTGACTTTCGACCAAAGAAGGTCAGATGTCAATCTTGCTGAAGTGAGGACCGCTCCGGAGTAGCGGGGGTGGATGGACGTGATGGGATGTTCTGCACACATTGACCGTGTGAAGATTTCAACTCAGGGCACTCAACCCGGGAGGGGGCATGGGGGGGCTCATAGATGAGTGTGCGCACTTGTTTTTGTTTGATCTATTAGCGGCCTACATACATGGGAACCTGGTTCGCCAAACTTGGTTCGCAAGAACCATGTTCGATATTTGTTACCCTGTGTGTGGTTAACGAAACAAGATCGCCTCAATTTCTCACGAACTTGGTCTTCCATCGGATTAGAAAACATTCATTCGATTCATCGGCAGGGCGCAGCAAGTCCGTTTGTGTGTGGGGGAGGGGAACCGTTGTTCGCCATTTCCTCCAATGGTTGTGGTGGTACCAGGTTCCCATGTATGTAGGCCGCTTTAAAATTTGCATTGGAATGAAACTGAACATTTCAATTACTTTGCTGAAGTCGCTGCACTTGCTTTTTTTTTTCATTTAGATGCCCGAAGCCAACAAAAAGTCGTTTTATGGACGTGTAGTTTCTGAAACATTCCTGAACATTGCAATGTTGCAAACAGCATTGGTATTGAGGAAGTTTACATTTATATTTATCATTCAATAAAAATTTTATTGAAGATCAAAACAGCACTGTTGTTTACCATTATCATCCGATATCTGACATCACCGCTTTGTTTGTTTACATACTAACTTCAAAATGTTGTGCTACTTTATATGCACCTACCTCTATTTCTGACATATTTTGTTTTGCAGCACCGAACGTCCGTGATAAATTAAATGTAACCGCTGTGCTGTAATGGTTTATCAATTTTGAAGCACAGAATCATAAAGACAGCGCGAGAGTTTTCGAGTTTTGCGGTTTTATATTGCATTGAACATCTACAAGATATATTATCTTATGTTGCGGATGATGACTGTTTCAAATAATTAGGGTTATTTGGAGTCCTAACTGGATAAGTAAATGATGATATCGTTAGAAGTGTTATTTTGGGTGGATTTTTTCTTCCGTTTTACTTGCCTGAAAAAACTGCTGTTAATGATCTTTGTGAAGACTTTAAATTAAAGTTGAATACTTTTTTCTTTTCTAGATTTCCACATTTCTGTGAAATGCTGTTCAGCAACTTTGCTGCTTTAGCAAAACTATACAGTTTTTGAGAAACTTGGAACCATATTTCGAACTAGATAATTCTACACACCCCAGCGACTTTTACTACTTCATGAGGTTCAAATTAGACCACCTTCGGAATATTGTTTACATTGACATACGAGGAATCGCACGTTGAAAGATGTGACTTCGTCAATCCTTAGCTCGCACACCTTTAGACTGCTGAGGGTTGTATTTCGTTAGAGGCGACAGCGGGTTTAAAAATCTGTTTCTGTTTAAAATCTGTTTTTCCGTTAATCAGCTGTCGCCCCTATACGAACGACAACTCTCAGAAGTTGAGAAACTTGTGCGAGCTAAGGACTAACGAGATCTTACCTTTTAACGTGTGATTCCTAACACGGTTGCAGAATCATCCCAGCTTCAACCAGATAAATTCTCTCGAGAAAAATATCTGGTCGAGGCGGGAATCGAACCCACGGCCTTCCGATCGTGAGTCGGGCGCTCTACCACCGCGGCCAATTCCAACGATGTTGAACAGATATACAGAGCCTTTCCCCACAAACAATCTTTGAAGCAACTAGGTTCTCTCCAGAAAATAGTCGGTTATTCGAAGGTTCAGAAATTACGAGCGAACTTGCTAACCCGGAGATTGAAAACATAAATTACCTACGAGAGTGTTTTTATTGTTCAAACCTTTAACGGTCTATATACAGTGCATTTCTTTGATGCCCCCCTCCATTTATTTTTTGAACGGGTCAACTCAAAAAATTGAAATTTGGGCCTCATAAAAAAGTCCAAAGGTTGCAAATCTGGCGAGCGGGCTGGCCATTCTGTAGGACTTCGACGGCCAATCCAACGACCAGTGAAAGTAGTATCCAAATAGTTTCTTACTTGTCTGGAGTAATGTGGTGGTGCTCCATCTTGTTGGAATACAATATTCATATCGAATTCGAATTCATTAGGATTTGCTTCAACGATTTTAGTGATGAGAGGATCAACACTAGTTTCCAGCAAATTCAAATACTGCCATGAAAGTAAGTAATTTTATGAAATGCCTAAGCTACAAGAAATTATCACTGAAAATTGGAGAGAGCCTTTGATTATAGTTTTTCTTTCAATTTACAAAAACAATTATCGACTCACAGTTGGTCACTCCATCTTGCTACCAAAATCGTAACACTCATCCCATTTATAATGTTCTCCTTCGGCGATTGGAGGAAATCAGTTCATAACAAGAATGGGCTTTCGAATAGTCAAATTTCGCGATTTATCTTCGCAACCGGTTTGATCCCGACACAACCTTGACTTTGTTCGCTTTGAATTTCTTATCAGCTTAAACGCTGAATTGTAAACAAAACGAATCGTATCTGAAACACTGGTAAAATCATTATGAATCACAGAGTGAAATTTGTTTCGGTGCTCTAGGAGATATGGCGAATAACTTTTCGTGAGTGCCTACAAAACACACCCAATGTAAGGCACTAGAAGAAAGCTTGAAGCAAGCAATTCATGGACAACTCAAATTATATGCAAAATACGACAGATTTCCAAAAATAGGCGAAATATTATCATGAAACTACAAAGCTTGGAAGAATTGGAAGAAATGGGAAAATCAGAAGGCGCGCAACCAGTAAAGAAATTGGTGTTTCTAAGTTGGTCTTTGATGTCATTGAAAAAGATCGTTACTTGTAAGTGTGGCAGTAATTAAAGAGCCGAGAAATAGTCAACTGTTACAGAGAAAAAGATATCTCCTATATAGCATGTGGTAAAGTGTGGTTATCAAATAAAATTTTCGGAAAAAACTATACATGCAAACAAAATAACCAGTTCCCCGCAAATAATGTACCTCTCAGCAACCTTGATTCTTTGCATTCAGCGATTCAAGGCACCTCCTCCAATTATAAACAAAAAATAAAGTATACAAAGAAGTGTCGACCTCAATTCCGACGCCTACGAAATCGCTGACAGAACTTCCAAGGAATTGCGAAATAAAAAGGTAATTAATTCGACTCGGTTACGAGATATATCACTGTCGACCAGTTTCGGAAGAAATTTCGACGAACTTTTCTCGATCCCGTCGACGTGAC